TTCTCCTCTCTGTAACGACGACTGTCTGAGTTTCACTTCTTAGAAATCAAACTAGTTTCACCTCTGATCTACACAGCATGTGTTTGTTCAGTGTCTGCTCTTGCACCGTCCCACATGTTGGTTACACCCATCCTCAAACTGTAGATCTAAAGGGGAGGGAACAAGAAAATAAACGTCAGAGTGGAGCTGGCTGAGTCTGAGAGCAGGAAGAAGAGGGAGGGGTTAACAAGCTCTGATTCATGTTTCATGCCTCTGACAGGGCAGATTCTCAACATGAATACATAACCACTCTCTGTTGCATGGAAGAAAACTCTATAAGCAAGCATGTAAAAAACTCTAGTCACACATTTCTTAACATGTAAAAAGAAGTGAATAAAACACAGAGAATAACTGAACATGTTTTACAACTACTGTCAGAACGGAGCTACCTGTGAGCACCAGCATTACAAGCTGTGAAAATCTGAGACACCACAAGGAGGCGTCAGGGTTCCACTGAACTTCACCACCATTGGAAGAGGTGTTTTCACATACTGGTGGTTCACATGCTGGATTAAATACATTGACCTGACCTTTATTCCTTGTTTCTGTCTATCAGATGGTCAAACTGATGATCAAGCAGATCATTGATATTGTCTTTAAACATACTTCACCTCAGATTGAAGTCATAATCCTGTTTCAAATACAAACCGACTGATTCCTACTTTTGCCTTAACTTAAAAAGCCTCCCCTTAAAACAGTCGGTTTGATTCCAAGTAATGAAATTTGGATGTGTAGTAGAAGTAGTACACCGACAAAAAATACCTCAGTGTCCTTTTGTCGCTGCTCATTTGCTGATCCAGGCTGCACGGGGCTGGGGAGCTCACTTGTTGGTTACACCTATCTTGCACTCGTATATTAGTGAAGGACAGGGAACCAGGAAATGTGTGCACAGAGTGGAGTTGAGCAATCGGGAGGGGTTACCATGCTGCCCTCACGCAGGTGATGAATTCTCTTAAAGGGACAGTGTGAGTTTGTCAGTCTGAGTTTTATCATACAGTGAAGATTAAAACACAACATTGAACAACCACATGATGTTTTTAAATAACTTACAGCTCACAATAGTTGAAGCAAACATTGAAAAACTTCATGTTTGGTTTCCTCTGAAATCTACAGTTTCATAGAGCTGTTTTGTATAACTGAAAAAAGATTTCTTGTGCTTTAAAGGAGAAGACAACACAGACAGTGTACAAACAAACAACAACGTACAGATTCAAAAAAGACGTAATGCTGCAATAGAGAGGTTAGACTTCGGAGAATTCATACAAAAGTACGATAAAATAGTACGCAGAAGTTTAAATTTGTGTTTCATCTGTGTATGTTTTACCAAGTTTTGTAGTCAAGACCACACGAACTGAGACCAAAACAAACCTGAAATCTGAGTGCTCAGAGACCGAGACGAGACCAAGACTTTAAATATAAATAAAACAATCATCATCTTTAAAATCCGAGACCGAGATGAGGCCGAGTAAAAATGATTTTGATTACGAGACGAGGCCGAGACCTTTTAAAGATCCAGACCGATTTTGAGCACTACAACACTACAGTTTACCCACCTTCACTTCTTTATCAGGCACAAGTAAGTAGGCTCAGGACTGGTGAAATCAAACTTTGTAGTTATGTTTCAACAGTGAATAAAATATACAAAGCATTCATTATCAGGTATGTTCATATTCTGACTGAGGCTGGTTAAGTGTCCCTTCTCAGGTCAGTGGTTACACTAATGTGGGAAGGCAGCTTGAGGTGAGCACCTGCAATACAGGGCTGTCAAAATCTGAGAAACCACAGGGAGGCGTCAGAGTGCCACTGAACTTCACCACCTTAAGGAAATGTGTCAATACACCTTTTTAAATGTGATCTTTGAATAAATGGTTTAGATGTTTGAATTTCGACCCAATAATAGTTAGTGAAGACTGGTTTAATCAAACTTTGTAGTAATGATGTAACAGTGCATACAAATATCTCAACTAGAGACGTTTGGATTTTTGACTGATATACTCCAGTCATTATCAGGTTATTTATTAAGTCTGGCTGAGGCTCGTTAGTGGAAACTGCAAAAAGGCCGTTCTTTTTTTAAGTACAATAGAGCGACACCTAAACAGTCAAATAAGGAGAATGGTATTGGCTGAAACAGTGGATACTTTTATGAATGAGATACATTTCTAATGTGCAGCTATAAGTCCAACCGTTTAGAAGACTAACATCCCACCAATAAACGATCAATTGTTTCGATCCAATCAGTAAAAGTCTTTAAAACAAGACATCTTCTGTCATTTTACTCTCCACTGAAAGTCTGTTTCAAAAGATAGGTCTTACATTGTTTTAAATTTTATTATTCATAGACTTTGTTACTTTGATTTTCAGATGCGGTGTCTTCCACATATCAGGAGCATAAAAACATATTCTTCATCACTTTTTTTTGTCTGATAATATTTCCTGCAGCCTTCAGCCTCTGTGTTTCTAATTACTATTGTGTTATGATGTTTTTAGATTATGATAATTCATGTTTTAAGATACCTCATTGTACATATTTCTATCAATTGGGTAGATGGTTAGCGATACAGCACAGATAAGAGAACAAAAGTCATCACTAGCACTGACAGCCTTCATGATTAAAGGTCACATATTCTCCTCCTCTTCAACTGTTTAAATAAGTCTCAGAGCTCCACAAAACATGTGTGTGAAGTTCTTGTTCTAAATCCACTCTGATCCTGTATTTGATCATGCCTATAAACCCCTCTATTTCAGCCCTGCTCAGAACAGGCTGTGTGTGTACGTGCGAGGGTGAAAGGTTAACAGAATGCCTGAGATCCATGTCTGCTGTGGTGCAAGGAAAACGAGAGGACTGGTCAGAGGAATGTCCTACGTCCACATATGATATTGAAATCAAGAAATTTGGCTTTACTGGTTTCGTCAAAGTACCGTAGTATGCGAGTGCAGTGAAGAAAAGTATAATCAGCTTTCTGTAGAAACATGGAAAAAAAACATAGATGTTAACACATTGTCCCCTAATGACTTACAGAACTCAGCAGAGTCTCCAGGAGTCCAGTTAAACCCCTGTCCAGCTTGTAGAGGCTGGACAGAGAGGGGTCAGAGTTCCACTGAACTTCACCACCATTGGAAGAGGTGTTTTCACATACTGGTGGTTCACATACTGGATTAAATACATTGACCTGACCTTTATTCCTTGTTTTTCTCTATCAGATGGTCAAACCGATGATTAAAGCAGATCATTGATATTGTCTTTAGACATACTTCACCTCAGATTGAAGTCATAATCCTGTTTCAAATACAAACCTACTGATTCCTACTGCTGCTTTAATTTACAAAGCCTTGCCTTGCAACAGTCGGTTTGATTACAAGTAATGAAAGAATTTGGATATGTAGTAGTAGTAGCAGTAGTAGTAGTAGTACAACAATCAAAAATAGTTTTAAAAAACCTCACACTAACAGTTAAATGTTATCAGACCAATCCCTCACCAGGTACTAGCTGTAAACATAATTCCCATTCCAACAAAGTATTTGATTTGACCATGCGGCAACCAGTGTAGTGTTGAAAAATGAAGCCAATGTGGAAGTGCAAAATCCTGCAGTTCATCGAGTGTCCACTAGAGGCTGGCTCCAGGAACACCGGAATTCACATTCACACAACACATGCAAATAAAAAACTGTTTTTACAGCATGAATAAACATGTTAACAGCCTGGATTAGTTGTTGTCCACATGGGCACACACTGTACGGAGAGTGTATTTTTCTACAACAAATCCGATTTGAGGAACGATACGTGTTAACCATGTTTAGCCAAGTAGCTGACATGATTGACAGGTGGGCGCGATGTGTACGAGGCTTAAAACCCGCCTCAGCTCCAGCTCTCAGTCTAGAAAGTTAGACTGAGACAGGATTTCCAGCATGGTGGCTGCTGCTGATGAGCCTCAGGAGCCCCTGCTGTAACAGATGGGTGACATCACTCAGGCTTCATCCATTAATATTTACAGTTTATGTTTCATACACATAATCCTCCTACAGTTAAATAAAAAGCTAATTAGCTAGCTTATCTTTTAATAGTTTTACCGGTCAGTTTTAGAAGAGAAAATGACTTTCAGATGATTGTTTCTTAATTCTTGGCTTGCTGATGAGCTTTATGTCTGACATGTTTTTTTGTTGTTGCCTCCCTTCGTAAACAGCCAGTGACTACACCATGTATCCGTTCTCAACCCAAAATGGAAAAGACTTCCAGAATCTTCTCTCGGTCTATCTGGATGCAGCTTTCTTCCCGTGTTTACGAGAGCAGGATTTCTGGTGAGTGGTGACTGCTGCTTCTCATATTTGTTTCATGTTTGTATTTATTTGACTTGATAGCATTGTAGCAAAAGTCAACTTTTAAATATTCAGTGAAGATTTTGTCTTTATAGTCAGCTGTTAACTCTGTTAGTTGGACTGTTTGTCCTGAGGCTGGCTTCACACTAGGGGAGTTTAGGCCTGATTTTGGGCCTTTTATTTGTCCAAATAATCTTCAAGTGTGTGGTGTCAATACGATTATTTTACAGCTCCTGATCGAGTCAGAGCCTCCCCGATCTGGAATCCTAAATACAAAAACATGTTTGATATTTACCATTCCAGATCGGGCTGCCTCCGACTGAATACCTGCAGTAGCCAAAAAGAGAGCGAAGAGAGCATCACTTTTACAGCTCACAAACATGCCAGTGAACACAAACATAACTGTGCCCTGAGCCAAGAGGAATATAGAAAAAGAAGAGCAGCTTGAGTAACAACATGAGTGGCTTTTTAATGTCTCGACTGTCTTCCATATTTGTTTTTCTTCTGAAGTCACGTTTGATCACACGAGTTTCTGTGAGATCTCGTGTCTGTGGGATCACCACTGTGAACTCGTTTCTACAAACTGCAGGTGTGTGGTCTCACAGTCGGGTCAAATCGTCTAGTGTGTGCAGTCGGAGGATTATAAT